GAGAGAGAGAGAGAGAGAGAGAGAGAGAGAGAGAGCCTTATTTAGAGCAGCAAGCTAATAACTTTTAACTCCCAATCTATCAGCCATAAGAATAGACTCTTCTATGTGCTTATTGATACCTTGTGCAGTAAATGGTAAGAAATACTGCAAAATAAAACCATAACAAGTTTAGCATTAAATTTGAAGCCAGCCAAATGACGCAGCAGTACCTATTAAATTTTCATTGATTTACTCGAACAAATAATGAAAATAACATACTACAAACCTGAAATCCGAAACGGGGTACAGCCCACGTCTGGTGCAACCGATCCCTAAGGTTGTAGAATGAGATCAAGAAAGTCTTAGAGTTAGCCCACATGACTAACATCGCCATAAAGGATATGGGCAAGAATGGTAGCAAGTGAATTCTTGTAGCGTAGGGAAGAGATGCCATTGTTCGTGATATAAAAGGCATGTGCATGGCGGCCGACATGTCTATAAAATGAGCTAGAAATACAATATCTGGGACTCTTCCATTTTTACCTGTATTTTTCAAGAATGAAATCAGTGTATAGACATATACCAAAAAATTTAAAATTAAAAAAGGGCTCCATATTGAACATTAATTGCATGTTTGATGGATATGGGTCGACTTGACAAAACTAAACAACTTAACACCCGGGGTATTTCTTCATTATCCATCTAGTATTTTCGAGATGGACCCTGGTTCCCCTTGACATTTAAGCTAGGTTGCAAAATTGCTTGTTCAGATAACTAAAGTGACTTTTTTTTCCGACAATCGACATGTTTTTTAAAGTTCATCAAACGCTGATTTTCTTTCTTTGATGATTAACACTTTTTACCCATGAATGGTACTCAATCATCAAGAGATATTTGATTGGCTTACCCAAGTCTCGACTAATTTTCTTATGCATCTCCCATGATTTGATGTTCAAAGTGTTTCCTAATGCATCAAATAGAGGCATGAAAAGGCAATAATTGGTGCCCATCTCTTTGTGATGCAGGCAATGGTATCTGCATTTATCAACATATACATAGTAAGGAAACAGAATGAGAACTGAGCTCAAGAAAGGAACTCCATAATTTACCAAACAAAGTACTAAAGAGAAATTCAGTTTGTTTCTGAAATTCAAACAAAATTTTCCTTTAGAAATTAACGAAAGAAAAGAATCAACTCAATTAATGTAAAGTAAGTATATTATTAAAAAATGAAGTGTACATTTATATATTTGTATGTATTAATGTATATACATGCCAAAAACATAATATAAATAAATAAATTTATCTTATCTATAACATTTTATGCTTTTAGATAATGTAGTTCAACATGAATTCAAAGAAGTCACAACATTTATGTTAACTATTAAGAATCAGACCTTTAATGAATAAAGTAAATCATTGTCATTAACAAGGTTGATAATAATCCTGCTGATATGATGACAAAATCACTTCATATTTCTAAGTTTGAACATTGTTTGAACTTAGTTGGTGTTTTTTATTGATTTAGTCCATTGGAGCTTGTTTGGAGAAGGAGTGGTGTTTATTAATTGAGTTGTGACTTGGAATTCCTTGTGTTGGACTTTGGTTCGAGGTGGAGATTTGTTGTGATTTAATTAACCCAAATTCTAGTGGGTATTAAAGTTTAAATTGGAGTGATTTTGAAGATAGTTTTGAAGAAATCAAAATTATGGATCGGAGGAAAAAGTTGCCACATTTTCGCTAGCCTGGCGCTAGCTTGACGCTCGAGCGAAGCTGGTGGAAAACAACCCGAGACTTCGTCGCCCCACTATTGCTCGAGCGAGGGGCTGTTGCTCGACTGTAGCTCGAGCGACAGTCTTTTCCGGCCAAGCCCGTTTCTTGTGTTTGACGCGTTTTTGGACTTCTTTTCTACTACAACTTGATGGCTTCTTGATATCTTGAATCCCAAACTTTTGCTACAAATGGTCCATATAGCACATACTGTTATGACAGAAGAAAGCATATTAGAAGAACAACCCATAACACAAACCTTCATGCATGTTTGTTTGCTAAAGGAATGAATAGCACTAGACTGTACTTAGAAAAAAAGTAAGTTACATATCTTGTTGATTATGTTGTGCTGTACTTCTTATCTAACATTCATTTGAATAAATGCTAGAAAAAAATGAAACTTATATTTGGGATAAATAAAAGCAATCGCAACTAGTACCTTGTAAACGCCCAACATTTCCCATGGCCAATCAGACGAGTGCAGCCATGCTTAGAGAATACAGAAACTTTCTGTTTCCTCTTTTAACTTGATAATTGCATAACGCTGATATGTAACTGGAATAGACCAAGTTGCCTTATAAAAACAGTATAATCTTGAACAACAGATCCCAAATTATAGGGGAGGGAGACAAAAAATAGTCGATAGTTTAAGGGTAAACTTGTTTGCTTTTTATAAAGGTTATGATTTTCTTTCTTGCTTTCTTCTTTCCTTCCTTTCTTGACTATTTTGTTGGCAAAAAAGTGTTGCCATTAATCTCATTTAAGAGGCCTACTTATAGCTGGAAGATAACATGAACTGAGGATCAATTATCTACTTAGTCGGCTTAATATTGTTTGACTAAATTTAAGCTCATGTTTGATAACCATTATTTTCACTCTTTTTTTCACATCTTCATTTTCAACTACACATTCACACAATAAAATATTCTGCGCCTAAACCCGAAATTTTTCTCTACATTTTAACCACACATTTTCCTAAAAATCACTATTTAAAACATTGTTTTTAAAAATAATGACCATCAAACAGGGACTAAATATATAAATGTTCGATCTCCCTAATAAAGCTTTAGACTGTATTAGGTATTAGAGTAGATAGAGCTCTTAAATTCAAGTCTGGTTGCGAAAATTGTGTGCGTCTCAAACCATTAAGGAAAAATGCCTTAGTTAACGGGACATGTCGAAGATTAAATATAAATATATAAATATGTCCATATATTTCCAATATCTTAATATTTTAGATGAAATAATTATATACATATATATAACTGTGTTCAAACTTCCCCATGTACATGTTTTGAGTTAGATGGCTGTCCAGCACACTATTCCAACAGGGGGCGGTTGTAACTATGTTTTTAAGGTTATTTTATCACATCAATGAAAAGTTTTTATCCCGCCCATCGGTGGCAAAATATTAGGCTGGCTGTTAACTTAGAAACTGCAACTAACCATAAGTAGTATATCAGAATTTATCAGAATTTGAAGAACACTTGAAATATGTGGACAGTGGGGTGGGGAATGGAGCTGCATGCATTTGGTATGACGGGGGCTGAATAAATTGTGATGTCTACTTGTCTATAGACAATTTGAAGGAAGAAAAAAGTGGATGTAATGTTTGAGAATAAGAAAACTTAACTTTATATCATTGAGAGCAATAAAATAGTAGAAAAAATAGACGTACAAAAATACGCAAGATTTATAGAAGTTCACTTCAATATGATAATACGTCATCTTTCGTCATTATTGTAATTCACTGTGATTAAAAAAAAATACAAGCAAAAAAATTTCATATCATATTCTCTCTAATATTTCTCTTTTTCATGATGATTAAATAAACCCTAATATTTCAGAAAAATTAGACTTCATAATTTACGTTGTGCCAACAGATCTCTTTAATTATGTTACTCTAATAATGTCAATATCTATTTGAAACTACAATGTTCGTCTTTCGCAAAGTCAACTCTACTTGATTTAGATCGGATCAATTTATAAGAAAAATTCACGCGCGAAGTGCTTGAATTATAACAAGCAAATTTGAACAAGAACCATTATATAATGCACTAGAGGCTAAAAATGAAGTAACCCCTATCTGCACATTGCATTATTGATTAAGATGCCAAAAAAAAAGAACACAAATTATCTTTTTTGGCCGAAGGAGCTGGGAAGCAAATGCACTTAGTCAATGAACATTAACATATAGACATTAAGCAAACATCCAATAGCCTACCCAGGTTCCATTCTATGAATTATGAGTATTGAAGTATCACGAAAATATACGAGCTCTTGATCGTAGTTCTATCTTATATTTTACAAAATATTGATAGCAAAGAGAGAAGAATATACTTGTAACATTTTTTATAATTGTGGTAAAAATAATTTTTCATATACAGATTAATGGTTAATTATTGGTGTAGGCAATCTATTTTCTTTTACATTGATAAAAATCGCCACGAACAGTGGAGGAAATAGGAAAAGTAGCAATCCAAAAGGATAAGGGCAACGATGCTCGATGTAATGTACAAAATTAAATATTTCAGTGGCCACTAAATATTTTCTAGTTCTCATTATACTTTAAAGGTTCTCGACTCTCTATTGAATTTATCAAAATGTTATCACATTCGTCATACAATCACTCGTCATTTTAAAAGTTAATGGATTTATGAACTTACCAAAATATTTTCGCATCCATCATTCTACCATCAAGTACGTAATGGTGAGTAATGGAGTAATAAATGAAATAATATTTTAGTAAGTAAAGTGGAACTCAAAATTTTTTAAACGATTATAGACAACTGTGAAACATTTGAGAAAATTCAACTACAACTCAAAAAATTTAAAGTTCAGTAGCGACTCAAAAATATTTTAGAAAGTTTAGTGACTATTATGATATTTAACCCGAAATATACATGTCAAATCTTTTTATACGATACGAATACGGCAATTTTCAACGCTATAACAACGGTACGTAGAGTTTTTGAAGACCATAGAAATTGGTATTTGAGGCTTTTAAGATTTTCAAATATAAACTTAACATCATACTTGTATGAAAAGCCAAGTTTATTTTGTGAAGTGATCCACAAAAATGACATAATAAGCTCTAAACAGTTTTGGATATTATGGGCCCCATATATTGAGAAAAAGTCGGACGACAACTCTTATCTTAAAAAATATGTTACAATAATTTGAGAGAATGAACTTGACAGCACTGTCAAAAGAGTAAGAAATTAGATAATTTTTTTATGAGAGTGATGACGCATATCCTAAGCAAATTTCATGTACCTGCAGATTTATTCTAGCAATATGTTTTTTCGAAAGCACTTATTAGTTATTACAAACAAAGTATTTTACGAACTTAAAAATATATCTAGCCTTAATTCATCTGTAGACGAGCTACATACAACCTTAACGATTATTTTTCATTAGCGATTATCTAGCCGTAATTGATTTGTAGAGGAGCCTTAATTTTTTTATTTGCAAACTTTAGCGATTATTTTTAATTTTTATATTTATGTTGTAATTAGCATGATATTATCCATAATAAGTTATTTTATTCATAAATTGTATGAAGTAGAGTAGATTTGTTACATTTCATGGGCGTCCCGAAGATCAATAGGGAATGGCCTTAAACGAACAAACTATAATCAATACTTTATTCTCGTCTAGTATATTACCAGATAAGCCATAAATGTTCGATTTCTTTACAAATAACAGAATAGTGAAAGAAGTAGAAAAATGGTCGACAAAAAGTTAGAAGACACCTTCTTAGCTTACTCAAATCTAGTTGTATCCCATATGACTTGCGTTATCATAGACATATACTAATGTTAGCATTTCCATACTTGTCAATCGAGATGAAGCCGTCGTCTCGTCGCATATGGTTCCGTGATCAAGTGAAATTTAATTAATTAATCAACCCGATTCTCCTAATTACATTACGTAATCCACATTTAGACCTATTTGCTTCACTATATAAAGAATTAAGATGACCACTCCAAGGCATGCGGTGCAGAAAAAAGGACAAAACATAAATACATATCCTATTACATTGAATCAACAAAATACAAATGTTCCTACTCAGCAACCCATCAGAGCCACCCACATCTTCATCCAAATGACGATGACAGAGATGGCATATCATGTTATCAGAAGCTATATATTGACAATATTTTGTATCATTATTAAGTAGATAGTAGTTTTCCAATTTGGTTGTCTTTGATTCAAACATATTTATAAAATAAATTTAAAAAATTGATTTTAAGATATAAGTAAAGACGTTCATCCATTATCAACAAAAAATCCGACGTCCAATGAACGAGAACATACAAAGCGTGATATACTTAAGAAGGGAGACAACATTTATTTCGAGTCGATGCATAACACGTAAATCATGGATAAGGATATCCAGTAACACTATTGATGTTTAACATTAGTCTAGATGGCAGTGAGATCATCTTTAATTGTCCAACGAAGTTGGATGCCCTAGACAATTAAAGGTGTATCCTACTACCACTAGGACGAGTGTTAAATAGCATTTACTCACTCATAAATCATATATTTATGTATCGAGATAATACTTTATGACTAATGTTACGTAGCATCATTGGAAATCATTATATTTCATGGATTAATCCGAACAAAATGAAATTAGACATGGATTAGCGTGGATTCTTTAATCTCCTTCCAAAATTAGATTCTTCATCATTGTAAAGAAGATGTGTACAAAGAATATCAAACGTCTCTCAAAAAAAAAAAAGTCTCCATAAAAATAAAATAAATCTTGTACATAGTAAAAATTGATACGTGTGTAGAATACTCAATATACGCTAATAATACATTAGTATCAAAGTCTCCGCCCCGAATCTCTCAAGCAAGCCAATCTGCGGTTGAGGAATAAGTGTATAGCACGACTCTATAATGTGCTGTGTACGGCCTAACAAATTTGAATCATCCATAAAGTTATTCACGTATGTTCTCGATTCAAGATTAAGTACACAGCCTTAATTAAAACAAAACTAAAAAATGATATCTGGTGTCATACTGTACCAGAAAATTCACGATACCATGTTACATATACTTTCAAACTTCTTATTTCTAAGAAGCTGGCGCCCATCAGCCTGCCTGTAAATTATGACGCCCACTTGTCATAGAATATTTCTAATTATGAATGTGTTTGGAAGTTTATAAATAAAGAGGGTCACAACATTTTCAAAAGCATATTTTGTGCAAATATGGGTTTAGAAGATTACAAGCCAGCAATTGTAATGGTTGCATTACAGTTCATATATGCAGGAGTAACCCTCTTCACTAGAGTTGCTCTTGTACACGATATGAGTTCAAGGGTGTTTGTAGTGTATAGGCAATCCATTGCCTTCTCTGTCATTGCTCCAATAGCTTATTTCGCAAGGTACAAGCCGAATTCCTTTTTTTTTTTTTTTAATCAAAATTTGACGTGTAAGGTCATGAAATCTGATCGAAAGAGCTGATCTGTTGAGTCGCCTTCCTAAAAAGTTTAAACTTATGATGAAATGGTTGAACATGGTTGTTATTGATTAAGCCTTCTAATCCCGAGTACAACTTTATTAGAAGTTTAAACTTTTGATTGAGATAGTCGAATATGATTGTCGTGATTAATCATCTAATCCTTGTACGAGAGCAATGATAAACAAAAATTAAATTAAAAACCAAACAAAACAAAACATACAGAATTTTATAGTAATTCACTCTTAATGTGGGAGATAAGCATGTCATCAACTACAGATTTTCATTATAAGAGAAATCTCATACAATCCACGCCAAAAAGAAACAACAGCAGCCTCCTAAAATACTTAGCCCTGTTTGGCACCCATTTTATAAAACTTATTTTGCTTCAAACTTATTTTGAACCATACATTTCATGAAACCCACAACTTTGATCAACTTTTCAACCATACATTTCATCAACTTTTATCAAAATCGACTAAAAAATCTGATTTTTAGCTAAACCAAATATTAGACGGCCTGTTACATACTTACACGGACAATATGATTCAAAAATGAATCCTTGTTTCCAATGGGTATACTGTATATGTCATGCATGATACCTGTAAATTGTAACAATTTTTCTCTCTTTTATGCAGGAGAAAAACAAGATGTTGTATAGGATGGAAGAGCTTCTGGTTGATATTTTTACTCTCTCTTATTGGGCAAGTCACTACTCCATATGGTGTTTGTTGAATGTGTATATATATCTTTTGACATTAGTAATTAAGCTCTCCTTTTAAATTCTTATTGCAGTGTGACAATAAACCAGAATATCTATTTCCAGGGTTTGTATCTAGCCTCATCATCAGCGGCAGGTGCATTGGGGAATTTAGTGCCTGCTGGCCTACATCATGGGGTATATACTTACATAAAAATTAATTATTAACATTTAGCCTCCATTTGACAAATTTATAAATCAGTTTATAAAGAGGGATAGTGTACATGCTCCGTTCACGGCAGGTTAGAGAAATTGCATACTCGAAGCTTGAGAAGTATGGCGAAGATCATTGGCACAATAATCTGCGTTACGGGTGCAGTAGCCATGGCTCTGCTGAAAGGTCCAAAGCTACTCAACAAAGAGTTTCTGCCAATAATGGACCGAGGAGGTGAGAATTGGTTGCTCGGTTGTTTATTTCTGTTTGGAAGCTCTTGTTGCTGGTCACTTTGGCTAATTTTACAGGTATTCAATTCTCAAGATTTACAAATATTTTACAATTTCCAAATGATTTTCAACTGTTCTTCTTTTCTTGAATAATTTGTTAACAGGTCCCTGTATCAGCTAGCTACCCGGATCATCTATCTTTAACTGCATGGATGTGTCTCTTTGCAGCGTTGCAATCTGCAGTTGTTGCGTTGATCTTAGAGCCCGATATGAAAGTTTGGCGACTGAATTCGTATCTCGAATTCCTCTGCTGCTTGTATGCTGTGAGTAGCAAGCTATATATCGATTTTTACTCGTATTATTCAAGAATCTGATATGAAAAATCCGTCACTGAAGTCTGTTCTTGCAATGAAATAAAGGGTGATAAAATTATTGAAAACTAACAGTATAGTTTGGGATTTGGGAATGCAGGGTGTATCATCAGCTGTCACTTTCTTTGCCCAAGCCTGGTGCATTGCACAAAGAGGTCCACTATTTTCTGCCATGTTCAATCCTCTATTAACAGTTATAGTGACTGTTTTGGCCTGTGTATTTCTACATGAAGAGATGTACACTGGAAGGTATAACCATAATATTCCTATATCTTGTCATAATTCTGGAACATAGTATTCGACATGATGGAAAAGTATAATGAACAAAAGTTTAGTTTGTTTTTCTTTCTTAGTATTGTCCAATACTATTCAATTCTCTGAACCAAACATCCTATATATTGTTAATCTTATCAGTCTAATTGATATCTTCTCATATCAGCATGGTTGGTTCAGTTGCTGTGATTGTTGGATTATATGTTGTACTATGGGGCAAAGCAAAAGAGAATGAAGAGACGATGAACGTTGACCCCAGACAAATAAAGAAGCAAAGCAATCAGAAACCACTGTCTAGTGAACCTTCAGATGAAACAAGCCGTAGAATTGATTTGGAGGAACCTCTTCTTTCAGACAAATCAACATACAATGGGGATAACATATGATGGATCAGTACAATAATAAACAGAATTTACAGTTTTGTACATCTCTAGCTACTTAATTGACTTGTGGAATATTGTTCACATTGATTAAGAAAAAAAAATAATGGGATTTTAGGTTTCTCCAATATGCCTTTTAGTTCATGTACATCTGCAAAATATCGAGAGGGGTGGGTTCCGTTGAACACAAATCTAAATAAATGAATTTGGATCAAACGTTCATATCTGCTAGTATAGCATAGCCAACAATTACCATTTCTCCATCTCGAGTATCTTCTCTAAACCACTTCACCTCAAGATTTCTAAGAGAAGTTGGTGTCGCTATTACATGCACTATCTTCTACATAATCACTTTTCCTACATCCTCTTCTCCAGCTCCCCCACCCGCACACTGATACACAATAATACCAAAGTTAAACGAGCACCAAACAGAACTAGACGGGAAAAAGCAACTTATGATGATAAGCTAAGCAGTAACTAGTAGTTCCAAGCATTTGAATTATTTCAATCTGAATAAGAAAAGGCCACACTTTGCAATGCATAAGAAAGCAGGAGGACCATGAGAAATGAGTAAAACAAATTAGTAGAGTACAAATGCTTCTCTAGATGCTTCTCTATATCTCATGGGCGTAGTTCACATCCCCTGTTTTCCATGTTGATGCACAACATTCAACAGAGTAAACAATGATTAGAAAGACAAAGGAATATGATGTTGATGACAGCCACCCTTTCCCAGTCACTCGTGATGTTATCGAGCAGCCAGGCCTTACAAAATTGCAGTCATAACACTACGCATTCGGATCACACAGCAGGCTGGATTTGCAAAGGATGAGGTTGGTGTCCTAGTACAGTTGATTGGGCTACTATGATGGCTCACAACCACCATTAACAGTAAATTATACCCATTTCAGTAAGTACAATAGCAACTAGCCAGGTACATTCTAACAGCTAAAGAATATGAAACTAGCAACAAAAATATTTATGTCAGTATTCCATAATTTGGAACAGATGAAGAAACAGTCGCCAGAAAACAAAATGCAAATAAAACCTGGTGACTGGTGGATTATAGTGTAAGCAATCATTTTAAGTACATTTAAGCCTGAAATTTTAATTGACACATTTATGACACTTGTACAACCCGTATCTAATAAAATAGTAAGCCTGCAACAGAAGCAGACCCACATTTTAGAAAATGTACCAAGACATCTAACAAGGAAATGGAAGAACTAGCAGAAATTCCATTACATTGAAACAGCATAAACATGATCAAGATTCAAGAAGAAAATGATTATATGGCTTATTAGAAAAGGAGAACAGGATCATAGAAGAATAATGCATACGAACAATTCAAGAAATCAAAGTTTCATAAAAAAGGGAATAGCAGAGCCTATTATTGAACAGTTTGAAAATGATAAAAAAATGAAGTCCAAAATTACAAGTAATGAGAAATCCATGAAAGAGCAAGAGACAATATATTCTGAAAAGTTTTTAGATGCTGTAAAGGAAAGGAAATATATGTAGGTCAACATCAAAGGAACAAAAATAGTCTCTTTCTTCCCATGGGTAAAAATTGGAAAGCAGTTAAGAGAAACCAAATATAAATTGAAGTAGATGGTGATCGGCAGTAAACTGAAATACTCAGTAAGCAGATGAGTTCTATCATGTTAAAAAACCAAAAACAAAACAAGCTTGCATTTCTGAAAAAGATCCCAAAACCTACAGTATCACAGAATAAACTAACAGATGCATGAAGTTATAAACAGATAGCAACACTATCAGAAAAAGGCACCTTTTTAATAGCTAGGTAAAGTTACTCAACTTTTTAAAAGCACAAATAACCACAAATTAATTAAAAATAAATTTCCAGGAAAAGAAATCTCAATTTCTTCATGATATAAATTTCATTGACATAAATAATAAAAAATACCCATAGAAGGCACCATAGTTTTTAATTAAAAAGAAAAAAAAAATCGTTGAATCGCAATTCTATAAAACCAATTTGTGGAGCAAAACTAATAATCCATGAAAAGAGAATACAAAAACTAACCACACAAAACCAGATATTTGCCAAGATACACTGTCAACTTCGGTGGAGGACACACCATTAAGCAACCTCTGGCAGATCTTACTACTACAATAATGACCACTGCAGATTAAGCATCAAATGGAAAGATGATCCAAGCATCCTTTCAAAATAATAAGATGTCACGATAAGATATTGCTGGTTCTACAATATCAATCCAAACACCAATATCTAGACAACATAATTACCCTCATAAGAAAAGAGGCAACTTGGTTGAAAACCACTTCCACACGATAGCATCTATGGCAAGGGTTGCTTAATTCCTAGAAAGTCCATATATATGTGTATCCAATGGAGTCAAACCATGCATTACTGCGTAAGATATTAACCCTTAGCTAGTAAAAGATTCATTTCCTTTGTCTAAAATTTAGGAGTTCTATAACTAGAAACATTACATAGAAATTTCAGAATATCTTTCTACCATCGGAATTCAGAGTAAGGAGCATGGAGGTAAAGAAATTAAACGATAAGCTGCTCTAAATTTCTAGCATAAGGTGAATATATTCTTGAGCAGGGGGAAGAGAAAATGAAAGAAAGAAAAGCAAACTCGTTATCGGTCATGCAAAAACAGTAATGAGAATCATAATTTCTCACAATTCTTCTCAAAACATCAATGTTCTAATATTACGCCATTCTCCAATTGCCCCCCACAAGACACAGTGATATAGTACAATAAGTGCCCTCAAGCTGCATTGCGATATCCCTCAATTGTTTGCTTCATCTCATCTAATTGAGCAATAACATATTCCAGTTTCTTATAACAAATCTCGTTAGATATTCTTGGAACATAGTCACACTTCTCAAATGGACGATACTCGCAAGCACTTTTGATTTCCTCTCGCAGGGTCACCTGAATGTCCTATAAAAAAAAACACGAAACAAAGAAAGCTATAATATCTCCATTCAATAAAACCCCACAACTGAAGTAAACTAAAAACGCTAAAACTTTTTAAAAGCGGGAACTGAAAAAATTATATACGAGCTAAAAAATAAATGGGTAATTCATCAATTTAAATCAAGAAAAATAAGGACCTTGATAAATTTCATGAACTCACTACAGTGATTGTTAACTAGTTCCTTTCTGGGACCGCTCGGGCTCGCCATTTCATCCATCACTCCTCCGGCTAGTTCCAACACCCTTACTATTATCTGAGATTTAAAAAAAAAAAAAAACTTGATTCTACATTGAAATTAAGCAATTAATTGGGGGTAAAGTTAAGGTCTTGTTTCTACAGAGATTTGATAGAAATTACCTTTTCAACATTTTGGAGTCGTTGTAGAGAAGTGGTTTGGCTCTGTGGATCCATGGCGGCAAATCACAGCTGCGTGGCCTCGATTGCACCTTTGAATCTTATATTAACGAATGTCGTACGATGGAGAAGAAAATCCGGAGGTTTTCTGATGGTAAGACTTGGAGTCAAACAAATTAACCCCTGAAATGTTTGAGTTAATTTCAATTTAGACCATAAGTTTAGACAATATCACAAATGGTCAAGTTTGTGCAAAATTTCAAGTTGATCTATGAATTATTTTTCTGACTCATTTGGCAAAAAGTAGTCTTGTTGAGGGACCTATAAATTGTGCGGACCATAGCTTACAAAACTATAAATCTTGTAACTTACTTATAAATAAGTTGAGAATTGATTTATACGCTGCATGATTCTAGGGTGGCAAATGGGTCGGACCGAGCTTATGTCCAAATCCTCGGCTCCGTCTTTTGGCTCTTGACTATCATGGACCGAGTCGAACAGTCCACGAGGTGACTCTTTTTAAAAAAAAATTACAAAATAAGCTAAAAATGAACAATTTTTTAAAAATAAATTTTGATAAAATAAGCTCAAAAACAAGCAAAAAACGAACCAACTCAAGAGCCAAAAACAAATCGATTCATGGGCTCGACTCGGTCCATTTGCCACCCCTATGTGATCTACAATTATGTGAGATCCATCCATTTAAGTTGGACCCACATTTTTCCTCTCATCCGCAAATATCATCACTTACCTTTTTCTCTAATTTCTTGAATCCCTTTATTCTCACATTTTTCTCCCCAAAAATCTTCAAGTAGTGCTATTTAGCATCACCGCTGTTTAATACCAGTTTAGGTGGCAGCACTAGTAGCGTTAAATGACAAGGCCAATTAAATGAGTAACTGATGAAGTGCATAAAGAGTTAGAACTTATAATGAAGTGGGATCGCAAGGCAAAATAATGATTTCATGATAACTTTTGGTTTGTCCTTTTTTGACGAATTAATAGTCTAATTTGAGTGGAAACGGGCCAAGGATC